GCCCCGGGGGCATAGCTGGGGGATGATATCAGGGCTTCCCAAAGCAGGCCCTTGTCATCACACCCCCAAAGTGTCTACAGGGACAATAGCCAGGGCACAACACTCCCAGAGAGCCTAGCACCAGGGAGATTGGAGCAGAGGCCCAGGCTCACAGCTCGAAGGTGATAGACTTGGTTGTTGCAGAGGCAGTGAGATAAGGCAACCTTTGTCCCCGTCCACATGTCCACATGCGTCTGGCTTCAACTAGGAAGGAGAGGAGAATGTGGCACTCCTTTCCTGTGACACCCCTCCTGCTCTGGGGAAGGTCTGTCTCTGCTGTCCCAGAGCGAGCCACTCGGAGGAGCCACTTTTCCTGTCTCTGCGGTCATGCTGACCTTTGCAAAGCTGGCCACAGGGTAAATGGCCTCGTGCGGGTGGCCTTTTTTATTTTCATCATGGTAAACTTGAAACAAGCAGATACTGCTAACAAAAACAATACTAACAATAACAGCAGCTTAAAATTATTGAACAATTACACATCAGGGACTCTGTATTATAAATACCATACAATGCCCTTTACATGTGCTGTGTTATTTTCCTCCTCAAAACTCTGTAAGCCAGCTATTATTCTTCTTCTCATCGTATAGGTGGGGAAACTGAGGCCCCATGAGGTCAAATAGATTTCCAGCAGTCACTTTACCACTGAAGTGATAGAACCAAGAAACAAACCGAGCCCGTTTGACTCCAGAACCCAGTGTCTTACTGACCACACCGAACACCACGTACTTCACCTCAGAGGGAAGCCGCTGCCTTTGGCTCTCGTGGCCTCTCTGCTCTTAGGGTCTTTCGGTTTTCTCAGCCACAGAGTCTTGGCCGAGTGCGTAGCTGTGTGTGGGCTCCCGCCTGTTCGCCCACCTCCTGCCCTGGCAAGCAGACTCGAGCCACTCGCGGCGCCCAGGGAGCAGTGCGTGGCTGGGGCCCCCTGGCGGGGTCTTTCGGCCTGGCCAGCCCTTGACTGGTCTCAGTGTGTCTGTCGGCATGTTCTGACCTGGCACATTGTGCTTTTTGGATGCCACACAGGAGTCATATTTGGGGCCTTGGCCTTTGACCTGTATTTTTTTTATTCAGGTGTAAACAACTACCCTATACGTGGTCGCGCGTACTAAAGGTTTCTTCATTGGTTTAAGCAGAGGAACCTCTTTACATGATTGATATCACCCGATAAAGTAGACTCTTAGAAGCTGTCTCTCCAGGGATTAGCTCCCAAAATAAACCTCTGCCCCAGCTGGGAGAGTTTCTCCCTCACCCTTCCCAGCCCAGCTCTGCTAATCACTACTCTGTCACTTCCCTTCCACTCTCCCCGTTACTGCCACCCCCCCCCCTTAATTGCCTGTCCACAGCTGACAGGCATTTCAGGCTCCATGTAGTCCCGCCTCCTCCAGGAGTCTTTTCGGAGAGCCCCACACTGCTGTCTCCTTCATGCGACCGCCAGCAGCACTCCCCAGCCTAGTTCTTGACGATTTTCCAGTTGTGTCCCATGGCCACAGCTAAATCGCCTCCTTCTCGTGGTTTGCTCTCCCTTCATGACATTATATCTGATTATGAGTCTGCTTCTCTCTATTTCCCTTAGAGCAGGGAAGGCTGGAAATGAACAATTGAGGAATGCTCTCCCCAGTACAGGGGAAATGGGACTGATTACTGACTCCTTTATTCCAGGCGCTTGACTTCTAGACTTTTCCACGTCATTCCAGTGCCTCAACCTGAGGTCACCCAATGCCAGATGCTAGAGTGCAAAGGACATGGTGATGTACTGGTAGCAGCAACAGGGCTTCCCCCACCGCGCCTGCCCGTCTCTGAGACAAGTCCCAGTGAAATCTCACCACCACCCTTCCCAGAATCTCCCGCCTTCTTTGTTCTCATAATCAAGACGTCACATTCAGCCCCTCACATCACAAAAACTCAAGTAAAATATGTGGTGGAATATGGCGATGTCCTTGGGACATGTGTGCAGAAAAAGGAGAGACGTCGGCTGTTTTCTGTGCTCCCTCCCTCCGACCAGCCAGCAGGTCCTCCAGTGTCCCTACCCAGGTCCCTGGTGGCCTCCACGGAGCGGCACTGACTTCCTGCCCCTCTGCTGTGGCTCCGGGAGCCCCGAGGCTGGGCCCTCGGTCAGCGCCCCCTCAGAGCTGCCGGGTGGCCTGGACCTTGCAAGGTCCTCAAAACAGAGATGAGAAAATGTGCCCCCTGCTCTGACTTCCTGGTCCAGTACGAGACCTAACGAAACTTGATTATGTTTATCATTGCTGCACTATTGACTGAACTATTGATACAAATGACTGTTCTTATCATTTGCTGTCACTCCACTTGAAGAAGGGGGTTGTGGGGAGCTAAGAAGAGAAACCATTCTCTCTCTTTCTCTCTCTTTCTCTCTCCCCCCTACCCCCCAACTCTTCTTGCAACATTTCTAACCATGTTACACTACTTGGACAACTTCGCAATTTGGCTAATTCCCTCTAATTTGCACACATTTGAGATGTGATACTCTGTTTGGGTGTGGGTAGCGATGGCAGGTGCGGGGCAGGGGTGGGGGGAGTTGTCATCTGAAGTGTCAAACCGCACCGAGAAGATCCATACTCGTTTAGACTGAAGAAGTCGGGTGGGGGCGGCGGATGATACTGAGGCCGTCAGACGGGCCCTGCTGGGCAGAGAAGACCGGGGCCAAGGGGCCAGCGCAGCTGCGCACCGGGCGCCCTGAGCACGGGAATGGCGTTGGCTCTGGGTGTGTAGGTGTGTACCCAGTGGGCCCCCGTGAAATGCCATGATTTCCAGGCAGAGGAAGGCTTCACCCCCCGCCCCCTCCAGCACCCATACCCACCTGGCCCTCCCTCATGCAGGGAATCGTTCTAACAGGGACAGAGTGTTCAATCCCACACATAGAAGGAGGATTTGGAAATTTCAAAAAATCATGGTTTCTAAAATGAAGAAATGTATAGGTCAAGTTTAAAATGGAAGCATATTCAGAGAGGCAACTGGAAGGACCTTCTGGGAAGATCTCAAGCCAATGATCCCCTGGAGAAAGGAATATATACATTTTTTTCTCATTCCATGAAAATGACAAACACAGCTTTATTTGCAGAGTACAGGCTCTGCCATGAGAGAAAGAGAAGGGAAGGTTGTGAGCTAATTCTGGACTCTCAGAGGGAGAGGGAGGTATTTGAGACCACAGCGCTAAAGGGGTGGGGGGAGGGACCCCTGACCTCACAGAAAAAGTTGACATTTGTCAAATGCCCAATGAAATGCCCCTGTTGGAAAACAAATACATTTCTGATGCAAATATAAGAACATGATAGGCTATATTTACTTCAGGTGATACATAAACAGATGTTTTATATTAGTCTCTGCATTATTTCAGATATTTTATAGTTAAAAATGCACTTTACAAAATAGAAGTTGAAAAATAAAAATACCCATTAATGCAATGGAAAAGTGTAGCTGCTACCAAAAAAAATAATGATTTTTAATTGATGAAAATCTTCATGTACTCACATAGAAAGATCTCCAGGGAACATTTTAGAGTAAAAACAAGCAAGCTTAAGAATAGATATTTTACCCAGTCTTATCTGGATGAAATGCTTTTTTAAATGTGTATGTGTATGTCTTGCTATATGTATAGAATGTATAGAATTAAATCTAGAAAAGGAAACAAAGTATTCATGGGAAGGGGGATTATGATGGACATTCCATGTGGCGTGAGTTTTTATGATAAGCATGTATGATTTATAATCCTAGAAAAGTAGCAATAGGGTCCCCAAACCGTCCCAGGTCAGCAGGCCGCCCGATGGGCCAGCGACTGGAGTTTCCACCTGCCCTGTCCTTGTCTGGCCCCTTTCCTGATTTGACCCTTGGATGTCAGAGTGCGGGGCCGTGACAGATGCCAGCAGCGGTGGCGATGACAAGCCCCAAATCACATTTGTTCCGTGATTTCCAGCGGCTCGCTGCCTCTCCGGTCAGCGGGGTGCAATCTCCTCGCTCTTATCTGCTCGGGGCAGGAGTCGACCGCAGCGTCCCAGGCTGGAAACTTCCCGATAGGCCCACATTCCTTCAGAAGCGCCTCGCCTGCTGTCCCGCCAGAGGAGCGACGTGGCCCCCGCACATCTTGCGTTGTGCAGCTGGATCATAACCCAGATGGAAATGAGCAGTGAAGAAACATAAGGGACATGTAAAGATGTCCTTATAGCCCCATCTGGCCTGATAAACCCTCTCCCCCAGCTAAGGTCCCCCTCCAAAGGCCAGCTGGCCGCCAAGGAAGATCCTCTGCGTGAGTGAGCTGGTGCGAATTTCCAAAATAGAGAGAGAGGAGGAATCGAAAGAAAATCCAAATGATAAATAAAGATGACCCCAACATTTCTGAGACCCACTCATGGCTTTTATAAACAGATTGGCATTAGTCGAATGGGGCTTTGGGACACCCTGGTGACACTGGCCGATTTTGACATTTAGAAGTTTAAACTTAGTAGCTGTCCTAGCCTATTCTGTTAGCGAAGTTTACTAAACATTTTGTGCTGTGTGTTCTGCTTTATGTCTGAGGATCATGCACACGACACGCGGTCCTCTCAGCTCTGTCTCCTGTGGGAGACTGAGGGACACGGGCGTTCCCCTAGGGCTCGCCTCGCTGGCCTCTGTCTGTGTCCACTGGTCCCTCTTCTGTCTTCCCTCTTCCCTGATTTGGTTTCAAAAAGATATGGGTTCATACAGAAAGTGTTCAGGAATGGGTAAACCTGATAATACAGTCTAACAAGTAATGTAAGTCATCTTTCCTTGCAAACATGATCACTTTTAAAAACCCAAGCTCCCATACGGAGTAAATAGATGAGAAATGAAATAACTTAAAATTTATCTTCACTCCTCCCTTGAACTGGAAACAGATCAAGGAGCTAATCCAGATGAGGGGTTCCGGGGTGACCCATTGAAGCATTTGATGTGCCTAAGCCACTGACCCAGTCTTGGATGTCACCCCTCAGGGAACCAGGTGACCTTTTCCAAGTCGGCAGATGCATTCGCCTTCGAGGACGACAGCAGCAGCGATGGGCTTTCTCCAGATCACACTCGAAGTGAAGACCCCCAGGGCCCAGCGAGATCCCCCCCAGACAGTAAAGCTACAGAGACCTCTTCGGCAGGTCCTCCGGGGACAATGCAGGTAATCCAACCACATGTCAGCCTGTCATCTCATCTCTTCAGTCTTAAAATCAACGCAGTTTTGCTTTGAGATCCAGAGGTACCTCTTGATGGCCTGTCACCTCGGTGCCTTCCTCACCCTTGTAGGTCCAGGGTTGTGTGTAGTGGCAAAACACTCCAGAAAGCCCCGAGGGAGAACCCCAGGGCCATCCCCTTTGACTTACTTTTCCAGCATCTAGTCTGCCAAGTAGATACATTTTATCTCTATTTTTACAGAGGAAATAAACACGAGGTTCACTGAGATTAGATGCCCCACCAACCATGTCCTGGACAGAACGTGCCGAGCAGGACTGGTTTCTAAGCCCAGTCTTTCCACTCACTGAGTCACCAGCCGGGCTAGGTTACAAACAGAGGCCCGGGCTGGCCCCACGGGGAGCAGGGTTCTACCTGCCAAACCACTGCAAGGTCCACTTCCAGCCCCAAACCCAGCACAGCACTCGCCTCTTTTTGGACCAGTCCACACACTCTTAAAACATGAAGAATGTATATTGCAAATATTGTGAAAAGCACATTTGTAAAGAACCACGATGATTACTAACAGCAGCCAGGGCCAGGTGTTAAGGCTCACTGTGCACCAGGGCCAGCGCTAGCCACTTCACCGCATTTCCCACCGGCTCCCCAGTCCCCAGGCGGGGAGCCCCGCTGCAGCCAGTGCTGACAGAGGAGCAGGTGGGACCCCTCCTCGAAGCTGCAGACCCGTGTGGTCTGCGGGAACACTGCATGGTAGCTGCCCCTCCAGAAGCCACCAGACCTACCGGGATTTTCCTCAGCCGGCTCGTTGGTGCTCAGGGAGCCCTAAGGGCAAGCGTGGGGGTGCCCACGCATGAGGGGAAGGATGCCCCCCGGAGTGGCCGTGAGATGTGGGTCTTCTGGCCCTGGTTCTACAACTACCCACCTGGGGAGAGCTCTTCAGACTCTCAGTTCCTGCCCTTTAGCCAGAGTTGACACCCCTTGGCCTCACTGGAATTGTTGGATGGACTGCAATTAGTACATTTGAAAATATTTTTTTATACCATAAAACACCATACAGACACCAGGGACAGTTTGGTAATTATCATCCAGGGCCCTGTTTCCTGAAATAGTGCCACTTGCTGGTCATTGCTGTGCCCTCTTTCCCTCCGTGGGAGCTGCCACGGAGACAACATGGAGTGGGAGGAGCTGGGAGACATGAACAGCAGAGTCAAACACGCACACGTCTGCCGTGGGGACTCGCGATCAAAGCGCTCTCCCTTCCCCTGCGCGCAGGCCACAGCTGGTCTGTGTGGCCAGGCCTCTTTGATAACATCAAACAGACTTTCAGAGCTTTTGTGCTATTGTTCTGACAGCAAATTCCTCAGCTTCTGATGTAAGGACGGTTTGAAGAGAAGGCAAGTACTTTTCCGCTGAACCCTAGGAGAGGGGAAGAGGGACCACTGAACCATGCCAGGCAAGATGCAAGGATGATTTTGTCCTTTTACCCGGCAACCCCGTGTGACAGATGAGGACACTGAGGCTCTGGAGGACGGGATCCTGCAGACCTCTGCAGGCGCCGGGGCTCGGGGAAGGACTGAGCAGCCCCAGGGGGAGATCCTGAGCAGTGCCTGCCCCTTTTTTGTCAACGTTACAGCACAGGAATGAAGGAAAATGGAAGAGAAAATAATTACATTTTCTTCTGAGTCCTCTGCAGCAGAAACATGCTCCTCACAAAGGCTTGTCTTGACACTACATGCACTCACGCTGACACCCCCCTATGTATAGATGAGCATACACAACACACCTACACATGTGCACATGCACACAAATACACACAAACACACATGTACATAGTCACACACACTGAATACACATACATATACACACACTACAGATCCCACACACACATTACATGCACATATACATGCACAAAACACATCACGTACCCACACAGATAGGTGTGCATAACACACACACATACATGTGTGCACACATACACACACAGCTATACACAGAACACACACATATGCATAGATACACACATACATTGACGGAGATACACACACACATTTTTCCCCCATCTGCTAACACTCTGTCATCTAGTTTTTGTTGTCCTGCTTTCCCCACCATTCTTACACCCCCCTCTCCGTCCACCTTTCTTTTTAATCCTGTTACCAAGTCCAACAGGTGGACCTTGTCACAGAAAGGAGGAGCCCTCACACAGGGTGACTGATGTCCCGGTTTGCCAAGACTAGGCCACTTCTGTAGCTGTCCTGTGGAAAAATTGCCAATAACAGCCCCTTTCTCCCCTCCAAATGTCCTCCAATGGTCAACACGTTGTATGTGTGACTCCTTCCCCTGAAGGAGGTAGCCTTATGTGCACCTGGATGTGATTAGAACAGGGGAAGCTGTGTGGGTTGGGGTGGGCAGGGCTCTACTCTAACATTTCTGTGTCACACAATGGTTACTCTTACATCCTACTAATGCTAAAATTTGGATTTCAGGACCTCACTTCTGGCTCCGAAAATGACAGGAATGACTCAGCCTCACAGCCCAGCAGCCAGTCAGACGCAGGGAAGCAGGGGCTTGGCCCCCTCAGCAGCCCCAGCCCTGTGCACGCAGCTGTCAAGGTACAGACGGGCCAGCCTCCGGGCCCTGCGGGGGAGCTTGCTCACCGAGTCAGTTCTGGGCAGGGCTCTGAGCTACGTCTGGCAACACGGGGACGGTCGCTCCGACTCAAGAGTCGGTTTAGTTCACTAGGAACACCCGTGACAAGAGTTGAGCAACAGGCCATCAGTGAATATGGAGCAAGGTCCTACGACCTGTGCAACATAGCGGGGTCTTCCCTGCAGAGGAGAGATGACGCGTTTGTGTTTCTTTGGAATCACAGCTCGGCTAGTATGTTCCCGACTGAAAGGACTTCATAAGCTCACCCCGGAAACAGACACCCCGGATGGTGTGCATGCAGAATTTGTAAGGGCCATGAAATCAGTGCAGGGGAGTTGGCTTTTATGCAGGGGTGGCAGACCTGAAGGCCTTGCACAAGGAAGGCCTGTATCGTCCAAGCCGGTCTCCATGTGGAAACACAGATGAAGGCAGGGACTTTATTCACAGGAGGCAGATGACTGTAAGCACTGTAGCATATTTTTGGCCTAAGTTTCTCATTGTTATGTGTGATAGTTCACAGAGCGCTCTCCCTGTGATGAACTGTCTGGTCGTCATTTAGCCTTCTTATAATATTTTATCCCATAGAACTCCTCATTGGCTTGGGAGCACACTGTCTCACCTCTAGGACCACCACTTAAGGAACACCGAAATGACTCTTAGGAAATACTGTTTTAGTGATTGTGCACGGAGTAAGAACCACTGTTGAAGTCACAGTCCTACAGTCCCCTCCACTGCACGCACAAAAGTGGCCGGCAGGCCTTCCAGCTGCCCCACAGAGCTCCGCACCCAACGACGGTTGCTCACACCCAGCTCACAGCCCACTCAGCTCAATAGCTTTGAAGTTATGGGACTATGATGACGTTTGCCCATGGCAGGTGGAATTGAGGCAATGGTTCACATTATTTCCAAGGTTGGGTGCAAAGAAATTTTATTAACATTTCTATCATAGTATTTAAAATTTCTTAACTCACAGTAGCACAGCCTTCAGCTTCAGTGTAGTAGGAGAATGCAACCGTCGCCCTGAGGAAGGACAAGTCAGCTCTAATAAAGAGCGGGACTGGTTGTTCACGTAAGAGCCACGTTTTCTGATTGCTCAATGCCTGTGGCTTCTCAGTTGTTCAATACTCATCATCTCCACATTAGGACAATACTAGGGGCTTCTCAAAGAAGGAGGCAGGCGAGCTGGGGAACTATCCCTGCCCTGTTGACTCTGTAAGGTTCATGGGGGCCAATGATAGAATGAAGAGGGGTGCTCTGAAAACAGTGAAATCTCTGCACAGAGTGAGGTGTTCCCCCCGCCGGCTCCGCGGGGGTGCTCGTCAAAGCTGCGTGGAACAGGACTCCCGCGTCAAGGAGCCTGCAGTCTAGTTGGGTATCACAGACACTCAGTGTTTTAAACAAGTAAGAAAAAGGTGCCCCCAAGGACTTGACGCTTCCCAAAAGATAGAGAAATTGCCAATAATCACATGAAAAGGTGCTCAATGTCATTAGTCATCAGGTAAATGCAAATGAAAACCACAACAAAATACCACATCATAGCCACCAGAATGGCGATAATCAAAATAAAAATGAAATTGGCCCGTGCTGGCGTGGGCGCGCCGCTCAGGGAATCAAGTGTAGAGTTACCATGTGAGCCAGCGACCCCACTCCTGGGTATGTGCCCACGGGAGCTGAAAACAGGTGTTCCAACGGAAACTTGTACGTGAATATTCATAGCGACATCATTCGCCATAGTCAAAAGTTGACATTAACCCAAATGCCCATCAGCTGAAGAAGGGGTAACCACGTGGCATAGCTGTACGATGGAATGTTATTCGGCTATAAAGAGAAATGAGTACTGATACATGATATACCAGAATGAACCTAGAAAATAGTGTGCTGAGTGAAAAAAGCCCGACATGAAAGGCCACATCGTGTGATCCCATTGCTACGAAATGTCTTGCAGAGCCAAAGCCACAGAGACAGAAAGCAGGGAGGGGTTTCCGGGGACCGCAGGGGCCAGGGCATGGGGAGTGACTGCTCAGGGGGCACAGGGTATCCTCCGGGGAATTTCCTCATGGAGGTGTGCTGGAACTAGATCATGACGACACTTGCACAACATTGTGAACCTACCAAATGCCGCTGAACTGTGTGCTTTAAAATGGGCACTGTGGCGATTTTATGTTACTTGTATTTTACCACAGCCTAAGAAGAGGGTCCCCTCCCCAGGCAGCCACAGCCCCTGCCCCCAGGCCAGCAGCCAAGGAAGCAGGGTGACGGCTGGGTTTCAGTACCCCTCACTCCCTCCGTTATCAGGCAGCCTCGAAGTGGAAGTGCCGCATGAGACCTGCAGGTGACAGACACAACTGCGAGTTAGGAAGAGCTTCCCGGGTGAGCTGAGGTTTGACTGGACTCCAAGGGTGAGCTGGAGTCAGACAGCAAGTGGACGAGGGGGCTGCGCACAGCAGAAAATCGCAAGGAGAGGAGGCAGGCGGCTGAGCCGTTGGAGAGGGCAGGGCAGGCCATTTGGTAAACGGTCGCTTTGGCGGACTAGAGTGTGGGCCTCACCGTGCAGGCCAGACCTGATTACGGCGGCCGGGCTACTGTGCGGTGTGGCAGGCCCAGTGTGTGTGTGTGTGTGTGTGTGTGTGTGCACAGATTAGAATGAGAATATCTTTAGATCACAGGCCACATGGCTCCCTGTCGAATTACTCTAACCTGCTTTACACATTTAAGCCGGGGTCTTAAGCCGCTGGACTTTGGATGCACCTCTGCTTTAGAAAAATGAATGCTCTTCCCTTAGGTTGGCCATGCGGTTCAGGATAGGAAACAGAAAAACGAATCCACAACTTTCCTATCCCCTGGTCTCAGAAAGAAAGGGACAGTACACAGGTCCATGAATTCAGAGTTCCAGGCGTCAGTAGACTTTGCCCTCACTGTGCAGAGAAAGTGGCCCGATTTTTGTACCTTCTGGATGGCTCAGTCCTTATAGCTAAGGCAACATGGAGAGTGAATTCCTCAGCTAGACGCAGGGCTGCAGCTCCCCGGACAAGGCAAGTCCCGGGATGAGGCAGGAGGAGAAGCCGAGCTGGAGCGAAGCAGGCAGAGCTGCCTGCAGGCCCCGCAGGAACTGCCCCAAGGGCGGGAGACCAACTGTTAACTGGAATGTTAATCGATTAATGAGCGGGGAGAAGTACTTGTGCTCACTATTCATTAGTCTCCAAGAAGAAGCCTCCTTGGGAAGCGCTAAAGAGGCTTTGGTGGTGGGGTGCGCTGAGTCGGAGAGAAGGAGCCGTGGGCTCCTTTGGGAGGTCACATTCAGATGTGTGTTTTGTGGTTAACATGGGGCCGCTGCCCAGGCAGCTCATGCCTGTCGGCTACTCAGGAGCCCCCTCTTCTGGGCACTGCTGGTACCTCACTTTCCGTCCAACATTTTACCCCAAAGCCGCAAGAGTCTTCTGGCCTGACATCCATGTTCTTCATTTCAACCTTCTGGAATACAGTCAAGATTTGAAATTTTGTATTTTTCAACTGAACATGGTATGGACCTATTGCTTCCTAACATGTGTTGGAAGCCTTTTGATTTTAGGAGGAGGTTATAGATATAATCACACTGTCCTCTGAGGCCTATTATTATTATTTCAATATTATCTAATATTGCCCTTATCTTGATCACTGGGATAGAAAGTGGAGAATATTTTCTCCAACATGCAGGTGAGGTAACTAAGATGTAGTAACGTAATTGTACCACATTCCGAAATTTCTGTTAACTTCCTAGCCTGTACCCTTAACTTCTCTCAATGTGTCCAAATGATGCTCCACAAAGGGTAACTTCCAGAAGGGCCCTGGTGTGTGGCGAACCCTTCCCGTAGTGAGTACAGTGTCATTAGTTCAGAGGGTATCACTTCCTGATTATATATCAGGGTTTGGGGATGGAGTGGGCGGGACATCGTATCTTACTTTTCAGCCTGAAGCAACAAAGCTTCACATTCTGGATATTCAAAGACAAGGTTAACGTCATCTAAGTTTGTGTCATTTCTAGTCAATTTACTAAGTGCTTAACTAACTGTGATTACATGTATTCATATGAAAGAACTTTCTTATGAATCAATCCCAGGATCAGAATGTATCCTTTATTAGGCCATTAGCTGGCTTAAGGTGAGGCAAGTGTTCTCACTGAAACCCAGACTTAACTTCTACTCGGGGAAGAAGCTACTCCGGGAGCCACTTCTGAGATTCAAGGTCCCCCACCTAAGGGGTGTCCTTTCCACGCACTATACTTGCAACAGTTTTGTTTACTAAATAGCATGATGCCCCAGAGATTGCACATTGTGCCTTTGCTGTACTGTAGTTCCGAGATTCGAGAACATTGGTCAGACAAAACCTCCTCACAATAGACCCATGATGCCAATCATTCCCACCTGAAGCACATGTATGCCTTTATCCTTTTGCAGTCCAAGTCCTTGAGTGACAATAAGAACCGCCACAAAAAGCCCAAGGACCCCAAGCCAAAGGTGAAGAAGCTCAAATATCACCAGTACATCCCCCCAGACCAGAAGGCGGAGAAGTCACCTCCGCCCATGGACTCAGCCTACGCCCGGCTGCTGCAGCAGCAGCAGCTCTTCCTGCAGCTCCAGATCCTCAGCCAGCAGCAGCAGCAGCGGCTCAGCTACCCCGGGGTTCACCACACTCCGCTCAAGTGAGCCAGGAGGGTGGGGGGAAGGGGGCCCGCAGAGGGTGGGATGGCTTCTGTATGTCCAAGGCACCCTGGGCCAGCGCCTTGGGACCCAGCAAGCTCCATTGTGCATCATGTCCTCATCTGGCATGTGTAGGACGTGACTTGTTCAGAAACCACGCACACCTTTTCAGGAATGTAAGGCCGGGAGGGAGCAATGCCCCTGATAAGGTGCCTGCTTGGGAAAAGGGGAGGTATGAGCACTTGTGGACTGAATGGCAGAACAGAGAGGAGCCAATTGCAAGTCCAGAAGTTGTCACCTGGGCTTCTGGTCAACCAACTATAGCTCGGAGGTTCCCGTGACCTCCTCTTTGGGTTTGATTAACTTGCTAGAGAGGCTCCCAGAACTCAGAGAAACATTTTACTTACTAGATTACTACTGGTTTGTTATGAAAGAACAAAACTGAGGAAACATCCACGTGGAAGAGACGCACAGGGCAAGGCCTGGGGAAAGGGCGTGGAGCTTCCCTGCCATCTCCAAGCTGGCCACTCTCGAGCACCTCCACGTATTCATCAGCCCGCAAACTTTCTGACTCCCAACCTTTTGGGTTTTCATAGAAGCTTCATGCCAAAGGCACAGCTGATTAAATCACCGGCCATTGGTGAAGTCAATCTCTAGTCCCTGTCCTCCACCTAGAGGTCAGGGGGATGGGGAGCTTTAACCTTCTAATCACATGATGGATTCTCTTGGCAACTAGCATCCTTCCTGAGACAGAGTCCAAAAGTCACCTCATTAATATGACAAAAGATACCTCTGTTACTCTCAGGAAATTTCAAGGCTGTTAGGAACTGTAAGCCAGAAACCGTATGAATACCAAATATTTATGGTATTTCTTATTATAAATCACAGTGTCGTGCCCTCATAGATTTGACCATATTTTAAGTGCCTCTTCTTTGTTTGTTTTTCAGGGAACCAAATGAACAGATGGTCAGAAATCCAAACTCTTCCTCAACACCACTGAGCAATACCCCTTTGTCTCCTGTGAAAAACAGTTTTTCTGGACAAACTGGTGTCTCTTCTCTCAAACCAGGCCCACTCCCATCGAACCTAGATGATCTGAAGGTACAGGACTTGGCATGATTTTCTTCTCTTCCCTTTCTTTTAACAAATACATCAGTACACTTTAAATAACATTATATTGTGTATATATTGTGTATCGTGTATACACAATAGAGCTTAGCCCAGAGAGCAGCTGTGGGACTGATACGAGCTCTCGGCCAGAGGTCAGCCCCATGGTGACCTTTTACCAAACTGAGGAAATGAGAAAACAACCATGAAGCGGGCTTTTCATAAATCTAAGTATGTTCAACAGATCTGACTAATCTTCATTCAAAGTACTTATTGTCTCCCAATGTTTTGAATGCTAAAAGATACTTTCCAGGAGGAAACGATGGTAGTAGATGACAATTGAGTGTTTCTGAGAGTTTTATTTCTTTTTGTTAAAAGAAATATTATTAAGTACGAATGTTAGCCTTTATTTACCAAGATAAAGCATTGGTAATTCTGTGTCCCTTATATGACTTAAAACAATGTACTATTTTATGAAATCCCCCAATCCGAGACCTTCTGAAATGTGCTAGCAATTTGCTGTGGCTCCCAGACCACGCGGACCCCAGCTCACTAAAACGACCCCGAGCTTTGCGCTGAGCCTAGCGGGTTTCAGAGCAACCCCAGGGCTGCGTGTGCGTTCCCCGGTACCCACAAGAGACCTGCAAACGACCACCGCGGTGCCTCCCCCCCCCAGCCTGGGCGCGGCCCTGCTCCCTGCAACGCCTTACTCCCTTTTCAGCAGTTACACCTGTTTACCCGGTTTCCACCTCCTCTGCTGTTCTCCCCCAACAAAGGATCTCATCATTGTTTCCAAAAACTGAATTCATAATAGTCCCCATCGTCTTCACTGTGCCGGGGAGACAGACCTTTCTCAGCCCTCAGTCACCGCCCTCATTGCCATTCTCAGTCAGTATCGTCTGTGGGCGGAGGGAGGACTGCGAGTATTTCACATCAAAGGAAACCCTGCGGCTGTCAAGTGCCAACGCCAGAAGATAAAATGTATCTTGGTTCCTCTATCCTTTCCACTTGAGGACAAGAGCTGTGGTTTGAATCTGGCACCCATAAACCTGGAAGAGGGCGCCAAGCGTGTGATAATGTTCTCCAGGGTGGCAGGTGACTCCTCCCGCTCCCTAGATCATAAATCCATAAGGGTAGAAACAGGCTCTCTCGCCTTGAAAAAAATATTATGCTAAGTGACATGAGGCAGATACAAAGAGACAAATATTGTAAAAGTCCACGTATATGAGGTACCTAGACTAGGCAAATGCAGGCACGGGAAGTTGAATGGAGGTCACCGGGGCGGGGGAGGTGGGGACGGGGCGTGTCCAATGGTACAGAGGCCCGGCCTGAGATCATGAAATGGCTCTGGAGGTAGATGGTGGTGATACTTGCCCAACCCTGTTAAGGTACTAATGCCAATGAGCTGTATTTTGAAAAATGATTAAGTGGTCATTGTTATGGTATATTTCTTCTATTACAATAAAAAAGATTTCTTTTTTAAGGTTGTCTCCCTCTGGGTGGGAGCCTGGGTCAGGAAGGGCTGGAGATGCCTTGGCGCCAGAGCACACGCGGTCCGGGGATGACCTGCCGCTGTCAGAGCCCCCGGGGGCGTCCGCAGGACCCTGGCTGGTTGCAGCCGTGAAAATGAGCATAGGTATTAGGAGATGCTGATGATGATGATGGTAGCGGAACTACCGTTTTGTAATAGAAACTCTCAGTCAGCCATTCTATTTAGATTTGTTTTAATTTTTACCCTGCAAGATAAAGTTTTAAATGTGAACATAAAAATCAAAATCTTAAAGAGGTTAAATAATATGCAAGTTAACCAGTTAATAAATGACAGGCCTGGGACTTGAACTTAAGTGACTGACTTCAAAGGCTTTGCTACCTCCAGATGAATGGAAGCAAAGGGAGGGGCAGACAGAAGACATCTTAACTGGACGTGACCCCTGGGTGTGTGGCAGAGGGAGGGGGAAGACACCTTACCCCGGCGCCCCTGGGAGAGTTACACCAGCGGCAGACATTGGGAGGGGAGCCGGAGGAGCTGATTGGAAGGGGCATTGGCAAGTTCATTCAGTCTGGGAAAGCGGAGTCACAGGCACCGGCAGGGCAACAAAGAGAAAAAGCCTACCCGGTTCCCATCTGCTAAAAATATACCAACCTAGGTGAGCTCAACGGTGTTGCCAGGGATAGGAACATAAATTCTGGGATTGTTTTCCTAGTTGCGGGGGTTGGAACGGGAAGAATGGATGAGACGGAAGGAGAGCAAAGGGGACGGAGTAGGAGAAAGAGTCGGAGGGGAGAGGAAAGGAGGGAGAGAAGAGGAGCAAGGAGGCAAATGATGCAACCACGCTTTGGGGAAGGAAGAAGTCAGAGGGGCTAATGAAGGTGACCCTCCGAAAGAGTAGTCAGAAAGGCAAGCCAATGAGGAGTGTGGTTTCTCATTAAAAAGTTATAAGCAGTAATATCATGTATATCATTCCCAGTCCATTCTTTTGTTTTTGTTTGTGTATCCAGTTTCTAATAAATTGGGAGAAAGGAGAGAGAAAGAGAATGTGAAAGTGAATGGGAAGTTTAAAAACTGCAGCAACATTTGATGGCTATCAAGAAATAATGGTTCATATTTTTAGATGTAATAATAGTATTGTATCTGCATCTTTTTAAGTACTTATTTTCTAGCTATAGATACCAAAATATTTAAAGGTTAAATTAAATGATTTGCTGAAACATAATTCGGAAAGCGTGAAGGAAGCAATGGTTTGAGTATAAATGAAACAAGATTGGGCGTGAGTGGGTAATTGTTGAGGCTGGGTGATGAGTATATGGCGTTTATTACACAATTTTTAATCTACTTTCATGTCTATTTGGAATTTTCCATTATAAATGGCTTAAAAATTTCCAATGACTGGATCACCAATGAATATAGGAAAAAGGTGTGTACAAAACTTTGTCCCAAACATTCTGAAATTTAAGGTAAACCACACTCAACACACATTCATTTTATTTTAGAATTTGAGCTGCACTATTTAATAATGCCGTTTAAGTTATTCAGTGCGAGAACAGGTTCTAAAAATAAATACAGAACTCATTAATTTCAGTAAGTCAAAATTAAAACAATGAGTTGCCATTTTGTACTCTTTCATACCAGCAAATCTAAAAGAAAATAGCAAAACCATCGCTAGCAAGCCAGGGGGAGGGGACAGCACAGTTACTGCTTATGGCGGTGTAGGTTGTTGCAGTCCTTTTCCAGTAACTTTTAGCTGAGTGTAAAGTAATATATATTCATTACTGAAATATAATAGGGCACAGAGAAGTAAAGAGCATTTTAAAAGACAGTTGACTCACAAATAGCATTACAGATTATATTTCTACACTTAAAGTGCACATGGGCATCCTTTGTTTTAAAATAAATCATTTTAAAATAATTGTGTGAGCATACATTTCTGGCAAACTTTTCTGTTTAACACATGGACACGTTTTGTAATTCTTAATAGTCAAGAATTTTAAAAAATTTTTAATAGCAGCATATCATTTTAGTGGTTCTGGTCCTGCTCAGGTTTGAGAATCACCCACAAAAAGGTCGAGTGTCAGGGGGGCGGGAGGCAGAGCAGCAGTGTGTCGCAGCTTCAGGACGATTGGTGCCAGCTGGCGTCCGAACTTCGGCAGAAATCAGTTTTCTCATCTGTAAAGTGGGGGCAAGGGCCAGGGCGGGGCTTGGAGGTCGGCACAGTAGGCGCCTCTGTGGTTTGTTTGAGGTCTGCATTTCTGGGCTGTGTCTATGACTCTGCAAGCAGAAGACATGGCATATGACACATTTTAAGAGCATTACTAAAACTGTGCAAAAGCCATGTGTGTTAGGTGCAGGGGAGGAAGTCAGAAAGAAGTACTAAAAAGAGACACGGACATTGTGAAATTCCATTTGTGATTTTTTTTTAATTAGTTTATTTACTTTTCCAAATACATTTGCCTCTGTCTTCCCCATCTGTGATATTTTCAAGTTAATGTAATAGTAAATGCACTTTTTAAAACACAGTCCTTACACAGCACACTAACCGTGCCCTGCTTTCCTTAGGTTTCTGAGTTAAGACAACAGCTGCGAATACGAGGCTTGCCGGTGTCAGGCACGAAGACGGCGCTCATGGACAGGCTTCGGCCCTTCCAGGACTGCCCTGGGAACCCCGTGCCCAACTTCGGCGACATAACGACCGTCACTTTTCCTGTTACGCCCACCAACGCCCTGCCCAATTACCAGTCCTCCCCTTCCACCAGTGCCTTGTCCAACGGCTTCTACCACTTCGGCAGCACCAGCTCCAGCCCCCCGATCTCCCCCGCCTCGTCCGACCTGTCGATGGCCGGGTCCCTGCCGGACACATTCAACGACGCGTCGCCCTCCTTCGGCCTCCACCCGTCCCCCGTGCACCTGTGCCCGGAGGACAGCCTCGTGAGCAGCCTGAACGGGGGCAGCGTCCCCTCGGAGCTGGATGGGCTGGACTCCGAGAAGGACAAGATGCTGGTGGAGAAGCAGAAGGTGATCAACGAGCTCACCTGGAAGCTGCAGCAGGAGCAGAGGCACGTGGAGGAGCTGCGCATGCAGCTGCAGAAGCAGAAGAGGAGCAAGTGTGGCGAGAAGAAGCCGCTGCCCTTCCTGGGCGCCCCCATCAAGCAGGAAGACGCTGTCTCCAGCTGTCCTTTTGCCTCCCAGCAGATCCCTGGGAAAAGACAAAGCAGCAGCTCAGACAGCCCAGCGCAGGCCTGTGAAGCCGCTCCCCTCCTCCTGCCCCCTGGGGGCGGCCACTGTGTGGAGCCCTCGGGTCAAAGCAACGTACTTTCTTCCACATTTCTCAGCCCGCAGTGCTCCCCGCAGCACTCGCCGCTTGGGGCTGTGAAAAGCCCCCAGCATATCAGTTTGCCCCCATCACCAAACAACCATTACTTCCTAGCTTCATCTTCAGGCACCCAAGGAGAAGGGCGCAGGGTCTCCTCACCCGTCAGCACCCAGGGGTGCACCGCACAGGTAAGAACTCCTTGCTCCATGCCCAGTGCGCCCGTCCTCCTGGGGAAGGGGGATGGATTTGCAATGCTAAAGGACTGATGTTGCACCCTGACTGGGCGGCTCAGAGGTTGAAGCGCCGTCCTCTGCACCACAAGGCTGTAGGTGGGTTCCGTACCCATTAGGGCACGTGCCTAGGTTCCGTGTTCTATCCCCAGTCAGGGCACATACGGGAGGCAACCGATCGATGTTTTTTGCTCACATCGATGTCTCTCTCTCTTCCTCTCTATAAAATCAATAAACATATTCTCAGGTGAATTGAAAAAAAAAAAGGAGCTGATGTTGGAACTTGCAATGGAAAGTGTTTATTGAAAGTGCAACAAGCATCTGCTGGACACCAAGACTCGCAGGCCTTCAGAGGAGACCAGCCGCTTCTCTGAGACGGCTGGCAGACTTGTTCCGGGAAAAGCTAGATGATAAATACTTAGGCTTTCGAGTGCATGGTCTCTGCCACAACTGGTCAACTCCGCCCTGTAGTAGTAAGATGGCTGTAGGCAACTTGTAAACTAATACACCTGGCTGTGTTCTAATAAAACTTTATTTCCAGAAAACAGGTTTGACTCCCAGGGCTATAGATTGTCAACCCCTGTTTTCAGGGTTTCTTGGCATCAAGCCTTACCCAAGGTCAAACCAATTTATTAAGAGAGTTGAAGGAGGAGTTAGCAGACCTTACTGCTCTCTCTGTGTGGTGGTCTGCAGAGTGCAAGCACTTACAGAGCACCTACTGTGTGCCAGGCCAGGCCCCTTTCTAGTCTCTGGAGATTAGTGCTGAACTAGCCGGAAACAAAAACAAACAAAACCCCCTCTATCCTGATGGGAAGACAGCAAATTTAAAAATGAACTAAAATATGTAATGTATTAGAAAATGATACATCTTATGAAAAGAAAGCAGAGAAGGAGGGTGAGGAGTTTGGAAGTTTGCAAACGTAAATAAAAAGGCCAAGGACGCTTGAGCAAAGCTTTGAAGGACGTAAAGGAGAAAGCCTTGTGAATATTCAGGGTGAAGGCATGTCAAGCAAAGGAGGAAGAGGAAGGACAAAGCCCCTGAGGTGGGAGCATGCATGGAATGCTCAAGCTTCAGAGGGCAGGCCACTGTGGCTGGAGTGAGGTGGGGGGAGGATTGCAGGGGATGGCCCAGAAGAGTAACTATTTCAAAGACTAGACCAAGGTCATCATCAAAGACTTGACTTTGTCTATGAGCCAAAGAATTATTAGGAGCCTCTATTTGAGTTTATCTGAGAAAGAAAATTATATTATCAAAAGTTTCTGAGCTCTCTATCATTAGAAAAGGAATAGGAAAAAGACTCCCATTAATTTCATCCCTGCCTATGAGGCATGTATATAAGCCATCTTGTTAATCATCACAACAATCTTTTGCGCTCCAACTCATTATCCTTTATTTGTCACTGAGGAAAATGTGGTCCAGGGAGGTTGAGCCAACTGCCCAGGATTGCACGGGCCTGGGATTATCTGATTCTAAAATGCAAGCTCTTTTTACACTGAATATTCTCTGTCCTGGGAGTTTGAGGTGTGGCCATAGGTAATGAGAATACATGTTTATAGACCTAGTGGAACAACACATTTAAATGAATGATGTTCATCCCTGAGTTGGCACTTTGGAAGGTGTTGGGACTTAACTGCATTATCATCATCATTGATAGCATTTATTAAACTCATAGTGTCCTGGGCAACCAAAGTAAAAGTAATTAATTTTACATAGCTGTGGACCATAAGACATTCAAGTCTAATGATATTGATGCTCTCTAGAAGACCCGAATTTACACAGTGATTTATGGTTTACAAAGCACTCTTTGAAGACATAAATGAGTACATGATAAAAAGGTAAAAAGATGTTGAGCAAATATAGGATAACATATTTAGGATAAACATAGGATTACTGACCCATGTTCATGAAATTGTGGTGGGGGTGGCGGATCGGTCAGGAAGGGCTAGAAAAGTCCAGGAAGGCTTTGGGAAGGGGCTAAACATAAAAGGAAGCGTAGAGTTAGAAAAGGAGAGTCAAGAAAAGAACATTCTATGAGTAAAAGGGATAGGGAGGTAGAAAGTACAGGGCATGCTGAGGAAAGCTCATAGAGGGATTAGCAGAATTTAAACTTGCAGAAGGAACTAGAACTTGACTGAGTAAAGTCTTGAACACTAATTTTGGCTACAAGTGGAGACCCTATTTGCGGATGTGTAGGAACCACTGCAAGTTTCTTAGCAGAAGGTGATACCTACAAAGGCAGAATTGAGACTTTGATAACAGAATTTAAGATAAGACACCAGGGCTGGTAGTCTTGGCAAAGGCTACTCGCAAACATGCCAAAGGTGGGTGTTAATGTTGTTGCTTCTCTCTTCCTGTAGAACTCAGGGGCACACGAAGGCCAACCTCCAAGCTTCTCTCCCCAGCCTTCCAGCCTCCACCCCGCTTTCTCTGGAGCCCCGGCAGACAGCAGTCATGGTGCTGGGGGCGACCCTTGTCCCAAAAGCCCAGGCGTGCAGCAAAAGGTAGGCACCTGGAGAAAGGTTTAAACTTGAGATTGACTTTGCCTCTTCACTCTTCTGTGGCCCTTGTCCCCCAATGATGAGGTTCAAAGCCAACATAAATGACATTTTAGATAGAAATCATCTAAAAGGATGTCCAGATATAAGTCAGGTGGTACTCCGAGAAGTCATTTCTTGGGGTCATTCCAGAAGCCATGATAACTAAAGGTGACCTTGATATGTTTGTGAAACTGCATGGTGAACAAACCAGCTTCAGTGAAGTTGAAGATTGAATAGGGGAGCATGGAAAAATAATGCTGGAGAAAGGGGGCAGTGCGTGGATCTGTGGCGAGGGCTGGAAGGATCTGGAAAGTTGGGGTCACAGTGCAATATCTCTGCAGAAAAAGGAAGAGACGGTACATATCCATACGTGGGAGAATTGGGGATGTGAAGGTCCCAGAACGTGGAGAGGTCCTAGGAATATGGAAGAGGTGATAAGAAGGAGCATAAGATGGTCGTGACTCGAAAGTGCTACAAACCTTTGCCTCCTTTGAAGTCAGAGACCCCGCAATGGCCCAGACACTCCCGAACACACTCCCAGCGCCTAAGGCTTTTCTTGAAGGGATTCCCCCAGCAGTGCCTCCAGCTCCCTGCAAATACCCCCAATTAGAAATGAAACGGCCTGGGGGATAAATTACTCTGGAAACTCCTGGGTTGATGGACTTCTTTGTACTGGACTGGACTCTCTTATTTTGTTCATTTTTCTCAGCTTGCTTTTTCCTAACCTAAGAGGGTGTACCTTAGAGAGAAAAGAATCTGTGAGGTTCCCATCCTCAGATGCCTCTTGCCATAAGTCCGTGGTGATATATACTATTGTTAATATATTGGATTTGTTTTCTAAACACTAACTCCTTTGCCCCCTCCCCCTTAAATCAATTTCTCCAAAATTTAGCCTATAATTTCTAATACAGAAGCAGTCCCATTTCTGACATGTGAATTGATTGTCTGCGTTTTACTCACACAGATGGCTGGTTTACACTCTTCTGATAAGGCAGGGCCAAAGTTCTCAATTCCATCCCCAACATTTTCCAAGTCAACTTCAGTGGTTCCAGAGATAACACAGCCTCCGTCCTATGAAGATGCAGTAAAGCAGGTAACCGCATGATTTGTTCTTTACAGAAGACTGGGCTGGCTAAACTGGACTTTGTTTTACAGGGTTCAACTCCATGCCTGTGGACTCTGGTACGGAGCGCATCTGGTGCCTGCCCACCAGAACGGACCAAGTGTCTAGAGGCTAACTCTGGAAAGGAGCAATGCGTAAATAAGCTGTGTGAGGCCAAGGGAAGGAGTTTGTCTGGGCACCAGGGTGACTGGACATGCTGCCAGCTCGGCCACCAGACAGCTGCCAGCGCCACTGAGTCTGGGCAGTGCTCACCTTCTTGTATATGAAATAGGGCTGATAGCGCCTTTGTAATGATTCTAGATAATGTGGCACTTAGCGCCTTGTCCAGGTACAGGACAGGTACTCAAATATGAAAGTGGTTGTCAGGGTGACACTTTCTAAGGTCCTTCCTAGCTTCAAATTTCACTGTTCCTGGCAAAATAGATGTTTATTGAGCTGCGTGATAATGGGGGTTCATTGTATCCTCTGCTTTCATTTATATGTGAAAATTTTCTAAACAAAAGGTAAAAAAAGAAGCAATTAATGATCTTATATTCCAAATGGCCTGAGCTGGGATCAGGTACCAGCTGCTAGTCCTTCATATTTTACAGGAAAAAGATCTGCTTCGGCTCCTGTATCCTGGGACCCCACACATCACATCAGGTTTCACTTGGCTCAGAAAAGTATTTTAAATATTAGATTTTACGCAAAATGTAGGCTTTCTCATTTCTGACAAATCAGGGGATCTGGCTACACTGAGGCCACGTTTCTGCCAGAAAACAATTACCTGAAACAAGGATTCGCTGCCTCCTTGATCCACAGCGTATGTTTCACAATCTGCCCTTCTCTCTTGTTCTGTATTTGGCCCATTCGTATACCCTGTCAGACACTGCACACATCGGTTGCCTCCTGGGCTGGCAAATGACTCGTTCTTTGAGCAGTGCTCCCATCTGTATTGATTATGGACACCTGTGTTTATTGGGACTGAGCTCTCAGAGGAGAGAGATAGACCTGTGTCTTAGTACTCCCCCTTTCCTTTCCCTGGTATCTGTAAACATCAACTGAGCCTTCGCAGTTTCAAAAGAAAAGAAAAAAATGCCAAGCAAAGTGGACTTTCATATGTAAGACTCTACTTAGCTCCAGTGAGCCAAAGGGGAGGGTTCCATTTCCTGCAAGTGTCAAGAGGTTCCACAAACTATTGCAATGAGGAACTAGGGAAATATGAGCCACACTCTCAGGCCACATTCACTTCCAAGTGGGATGAAGGGCCAAAACCCAGTTACGCCCATGGTCATAGCAGCATTAGTCGCAAAACACAAAAGGTAGAAGCAACCCAATGTTGCTCCTTTAAGTGGACAAACAGAATGTGGGATATATATACAATGAATATTATTCTGCCTCAACAAGGAAACAAATTCTGACATGGATGAAACTTGAAGACATTATGTTAAGTGAAATAAGCCAGTCACTAAAGGAAAAATAGTATATGTGAATCCACTCATATGTGATATCTAGAGTAGTCAATTTCATAGGGACAGGAAGTAGAATGGTGGTTGCCAGGGGCTGAGGGAAGAACAAAATGGGAAGTGATTGATTAACACGGTAACATGGACAGGGTTTCACTTTTGCCAGGTGAAAAAGTTTTAGAGATGGATGGTGGTGGTCGATGCACAACAATGTGAACGTACTTAATGCCACTGAGCTGCACACTCTGAAGTGCTTAAGATAGTCAATTTTATGTTTTATGTATTTTACCACAATTAAAAATATAACTAAGCAAGTCTAGTTCAAATGCCTGTAGTACTGCTTCTGATGATTTCCTGTCTAAGAGGGAGCTGCCTTCTGATTTCTCTGTCCTCCCCCGGTTAATTTGTAACAGCAGATGACTCGCAGTCAACAGATGGACGAACTCCTGGATGTTCTCATTGAGAGTGGAGGTGAGATGCCGTGTGCCTTGCCCATCGGGATGCTCTGCGCCTGCATGTCCTCTAGGGAGCAAACCCAGATGCTCGCTGTAAATGGGGCCAAAGCGTCTATGGGAAGAGTGGTCCTTCCATCTGAGCTTCCCCTCCTCTTTGGAGCAGATAAGGGAACACATTAGTAGATAATTGCTCACTGTCATTGTCCCTTTGCCCAAGGAGCATTTTCACCAATCATTTTAGCAGGTTTCATGTTTCAACTCAGTCCCTGTTTCCTTAACATTTCTGTTGCTATATTATTTCTCCCTACTGTTCTAATCCCAATATCCCTATCTTCTTAATTATAAGACGAAAGCAGATAAAGCAATTTTTGTGCTACCTACTCAAAATGAAATTCAATTAGTAACGTCCCATTAGACAGTTCACTCATGCTTAGGTGTCACTCAAGCTAGCAATAAAAATGATCAAGGTATTTTTTTTTTTGCCCCTTTTAAGTTATTTATCTATTTATAATTGCATAGTATGTGCTTAGAATTTGAAACCATCCAAATGAATAAGGTCACATAAGGAGAAGGTGTAGATAGAAGGAAAAAACCCTCAGGTCCAGCCCTTAAGTAATAACACAAAGTTTCAGAGAAAGTGTGTCCAGGCAGCCGGCTCAACGCTGCACTGGACCAAGTCCCCACCCCTGCGGAGTCTGCAGACTGGTAAGGCAGACTGGCAACAAGCGAGTGAACAGGCGGGTCCTCCACGGTCACAAGAGAGACGAAGGAAAAGATAGGCCCAGATATGGGTATCTTTGTAAGTCTTATGATGGAAAGATGAGAAGGTTCACATCAGACACCTTTACATTTTAAGTAAAGTATGTGGCGAGGTCAAGTAACGAGTAAGTGCAGGAAGGGAGCATGGGGGATTCACAGAAAGAAGGGAAACTATGAATCGATCATGAATAAATTGAGTTTTCTGGAGACACAGGAGATTGTTGCAGCATGAATTTAAAGGGAAACCAGTCAGCTTCATCGTGTAATTTCTCTCTTGCCATGTCCAGCTGATCCAGGGCAGGCTCAGAAAATACAAATTGTAAGATTCAGCCAAGTATGGGGTTTTGCCAGGGGAGAATGGTAGAAGGAGGATACTTATGAGAGAGTAATTATAATGGTGAGCCAGAGAACATAGCCTGGACCAGGAAAGAAAGAAAAACCAGAAGGGACTGATGGATGGGGACAAAACAGTAGAGTCAGTAGATTGCAGTGACTCCAGGTGGCTGAGAAGTTGCTGTCCCTGGATAAGCTGCAGCAACAGGAGGGGATGGATGGAGAGGGGAAAATTGCCCTTGAAATTGAGCTTCCAGGGGGATGCAGGATGTGGAAATGACAAGGTCCAGGGGGTGTCCAACAGAGTGAGAGGGGAGGAATCGCTGCAACTGAGGGCAAAGCGGGAGTCGAGGAACTAAAAGGCCCGGTGGGCAGTGGGTCACTCCTGAGGATGCTGAAGTCGCGTGGAGTGACGAGAGTTGACGTGGGGAAAAAGCAATGAACTTGGGAACAGAGTTTTCCATGGATGTGGAAGAGTGACCAGGAGTCTGGGCAGGGGACGATGGCGGGGAGAGCAGCGTGACCTCAAAACCCCTGAGGAGTTATAAGAAGGGGGGTGAGTGGCCATCAGAGAGTGGCAGCAGGAGACACCCAGGAAGACTAACCTTCTGGCTCTGAAGCAAGTGAGCCCACACTGAGGGTGTAACAGAGGATGCAATGTCCTCAGGGGACAGCCAGGTGTCAGTGAAGGAGCAGGTAAAGGAGCCTGCTTTGAGAGTTTGATAAACACAGAGTGAATTTTCCAGAATGCAAGGATTTGGGGAGAAACCAGTGGGGGGAGAAGAATGGGGGATATACAGGGCAGCCTAGGATGAGACAGAGTGATGAGCAATGACCAGAGAAGCAGAGCTGTCTCCTGTATCTAAGTGTAACTCATTCATTCCAGAGTCATATCGTGTGGCGTGCTCTGTTGGAAGTGATTTGACAATTCCCATATGTTTTACCGACAGAAATGCCCGCAGACGCCCGAGAGGATCATTCCTGTCTTCAAAAAGTGCCAAAGATGCCCGGGTCTTCCCGAAGCCCTACTGCTGCCCTCCCCAAGCCCTCGGCTCCCTTTGAACAGGTGTCTTCAGGGGCCCAGCTCCCCTTCGATCACTACGGCACAGACAGTGATGAGCACCTTGAAGTCTTGTTAAATTCCCAGAGCCCCCTAGGAAAGGTGAGCGATGTTGCCCTTCTAAAAATGGGGAGTGAGGAGCCTCCCTTTGATGGCATGATGGACGGATTCTCGGGGAAAGCTGCAGACGACCTCTTCAATGCGCATGAGATCTTGCCAGGCCCCCTCTCCCCGATGCACACTCAGTTTTCACCTTCCTCTGTGGACAGCAATGGGCTGCAGCTAAGCTTCACTGAATCTCCCTGGGAAACCATGGAGTGGCTGGACCTCACTCCTCCAAGTTCCACACCGAGCTTCAGCTCCCTCACCACCAGCGGCCCCAGCATCTTCAACATTGATTTTCTGGATGTCACGGATCTCAATCTGAATTCCCCCATGGACCTTCACTTACAGCAGTGGTAGGATGCTGACGCACGAGTGCTAAGGAAGACCCATAGAATTCCGCAGCCATAGGTCCTTATATTATCCAGACGGTGGAGGGGGATGAGGAGGAGCTTAAAAGGAAGCAGTGGAGACTTCTGTGACAACCAACAAGCACAAATAGGAGTCCTTTTTTATATCTACCAATTGTAATATTTACCAACATTCGATGACTGTTAATTTTAGCGATTCTCTTAAAAATATGCTTTCTCAGATGAAAAAAATGCCAAAAAAATTCTTTCACTACTTTATCAAACACCAGTATTTTTTCTAGCCCATAACTTAATTAAGGCATTGTTGGGGCGTAATCTCCCCTCATAAGCTTTTCTCGTGAACTTATTGGACCTACTGTGGAAAGAAAATGTAAACTCTTGGGAGGACAGGGCAGTGAATCCATCAAAGGTTATGGAGAGCATACCTGTAATGGAAGGTGATTCTCATCACTCCGTTACCTGTCTTTCAAAATACCATTAAAGCCCAGTTTCAGTTATGGAGTTCTTGGAGCAAAACAGAGGGATAGAACCAATTCTTTCCCAGGGAAGCAAAATCAACTCAGTGTCCCTCAGCCACAAAAGCTGCCCCATTGGAGTGGTTTCCAATCTTCTACCCAGGACTCTGTGTGGTCACTTGATAAAAACTGACCCACCCAGAACCTCTCTCTTTCTCAATCAATTAGCCAAACCACTCCCACTCTCTCTATGGTGATAAGCAGTGCCAAACAGGCAAGAAACTCCTGCCATGGAAGGTTCTCCAACACAACCCCCTTTAATCCCAAAGACCATTGATGACCACCCCCCAAGCAGATCAAAGATCAAAAGGATCTCTCTAGCCTCAGGAAGCCCTGTCAGGGATAATTCAGACAGCACTAGAGACCACTGTCTCACATGTCATAGGAATACGTACCAAGCTACCAATCCTTTCTTGCTCCTTTTTGAACATCTTTATTTTTCTGCCCCAACATTGGGAGAAGAGGATTTCTTAAATCCAAGAATCCGCCATACTCCTAATAAAGCCACATTTTAAAAAGCTAAAACTCCAGGTTTTCCTGGAAAACTCCTTCTCCATGTGATAATTTTCCTGCAGAAGGAGGTTGAAAGAATGTCCCTAGGAAAAAACTGGCGACTTAGCCCATCGGTCACAAAGCTCATTCTACCCTCATCTGATGTACAGCAATCATTGGTTTGGGTTGCTCTGGGGAAATTGGAAATCATTATATTGTAAAGATAGATATGAAATACATCTACAAGGAGAGAGTATTTTAGGTATGGATTTCTGGAAGTAAACACAATTGTGTGTGGAAGATGACGGAAGGAAGAACAGACAGTGGTTTCGTGTGCATTCCCCCTCACCTCCCAGCCTTGGCCGGGACGGGAAAAGCGCAGAAGTCAGGACGGCCTCCCTAAGGCTCACGGTGGCTCCCCCCACGTGTTTATAGTGCTGCATGCTGTAGAAAGTAGCTCCTGCTGTTGTTTTTATAATTTAAATCACTAAGGCACTGTTTTCTCATTTTGTAAAAAATGTTGTTCACTGTGCACTTATGGAGAAAATAACCAAAAATGTTGTGATTTTAGAAGTTCTCTTTTTGATAAATCAAAGATTTAGAAGTCATTCCATTGTTACCTTGTAAACTTGTGTGAACAGAGTGTTTTTGGTGACTGCTACTCTCAAAGCTGCCAGATCTTATTAGGGGTGGGGGATATATATAAAATACACACACACGCATATGTGATAGGTCTATACATATGTATGCATATGTGTGTACATATGCATACATAGGTATATATACATACACATGTGTGTATGTGTATGCATCTTGAAATGCAGCGTTACAGAGCTCTGCACCAAAAACCTTTAAGCCTCAATCTGCTGTGAAATGATACTTGGCCTTTCTCACTACAAGTTTCTAATTAACCAACCAGACTACACGTTGCCTCTCTGTGTATGACTAATGGCTCCAGCCTGATGACTCACGGCCACTTGCTTACCATGAACAAGCTCATCTTGACAATGAATATGGATGTGAAAAGACAATAGCTTCACCATTAGTAGCTGGAAATGGCAATCGTCTCTCACAGAAGAGCATAAAAGGAACCTAAAAACTGTTTTACATTCCTGGATCGGCAGTGCGCTTTAAAAGATCCGCACGGTAAATTTTTCATTTTGCTTTTATGTCAGTCATCGGAACCAAAGATCTGGAGGGAAAAGTTATCAGTCTTTGAAGACAAGCATGGGGAGAAACCCTTATTAACACATTCCTCATGTTGGTTTATGCCTCAGATGTGGAAATTCTATGTGGATCTTAACAAAGCTTGCTGGTCAGTACATTTTTCATGTGTTACATTGTGTGGTTTGTATGTTATTCCCCCTCCCCCCGCTTCCTTTGGAAAGCAAACTCATAGTGTCCCTACACTGAGACTGTGGTCTGAGTGTTAATTATTTTTTTCTTTGGCTGTTCTGTCTGAAGGAATAGACTTGGTTAGGAGGCCCTTGTACTTTGTAAGTTTCTGCATTTTTAGGGATCCTTTTAGGATATTACCTTGTACTGATATACACGCCTCACAGCTGACAAAAGATGGATCCTATTTGCTACCGATCAACACACGCAACACAGATCATACCCCTGGACTATTGGTCATGCCTCCTTCCACAGTCTCCACACAGCATATTCACGCTGTGTCTTCGCAGCTCAGATGGGACGTTTGTGGAATGAAACTGGGGACGGCTGCGAGAAAATTAATGCAGTTGGCTTCTCCCCATGGGTCAGATAATTCATGTTAAAAATCCATCTGTCTCCTATTAACAATTTTTATTTTAAGTCCTTTTAAACTCTTAGTTGTGTCCTCTATTTTGTTGGCAAGTTGGGCCTGATGAAAAGATGTACTTATAAAGGTGACCCCACTCATGTTTCTGAATGCCCTTAGAGCCTGCGCTCTTCTTAATTCTCCTGGAATATGTGGCGAAGGAGACCTGCAGACCTGCCGCCACTGCGAACGCTGTTGTAGCCCCTTAGGTTCATACTGATCCAACAGAGTCAGAAAATTCATTCCTGCAAATGCTTTCATTAAGCCAGTGCTCATTATTAGTAGCCCTGCTTCTAACAATGTTATTGGTATGACACATACATTCTATCATAAGGGGCAGAGAAGGAAGGAGAAAGAAAAGAGGAAGGAAGGAAGGGAGGAAGGAAGGGAGGAAGGAAGGAAGGAAGGAAGGGAGGGAGGGAGGGAGGGAGGGAAAAATGTCCAAGTTTCCTGATCTATGAACCTCTCAGTTCAACTGAGACATGATGAAAGTCATTCGTTGAAAATTCAATGATTGCACCATGAATGAGGAAACCAAGAGAGTCTCCACCTGAATAGTCAAGAGTCTAGGAACTAGAGATCTTTGCCATTCAAAACATTTATTTCCAATCTGAAAGGGGGAGAGGAGAGAGAGAGAGAGAGAGAGAGAGAGAGAGAGAGAGAGAGAAACTATCCCAAGCATTTGAGACAGTCCTTTTCAAAAATAACTTAAATTCTATCAACTCTCCTAGAAACAGATCATAGTCGGACTGAAAATTCCTACATCAAATTCACTCATCCAATGAATAATCATTCGATGTCTAACCTGTGTAAATCACACAAATCCTCAGATTTCCAATACCAAACTGGCTCAGCACAGGTGGTTTAGATTTTGAGAGGCTGGGGAGTTGTGGTTGCTATAAGCATGAACACTGGGAATCTCCCAGTCCTCAACCCTTAAGCCATGATGAAAAAAAAAAAGGAGGGGAGTCTTCATTTTTCAAGAAGGGAGAGCAGAGGGCTCCTTTTTAGCTAAGAGCTATCACCCACACAACTATTCTTTTCTTGTCTCTTTCTTAATGATCAAACAGCAGCAGTATATACTTGGAGATCTTTCAGTATCTCCCACCACTTCAAACATTTGTGAGAGTTTTAGGATTTGTTTTTATCTCTAGATACAGTGCCCCTTGAAAATCTGTGATGGGAAAAGAATACACTTTTTTTTTCCTTACCACTTGTCCCCAGTCTCCACATCAAGCTCTCTAGGCAGCAGGGACACCCACCAGAGCAGAGGGTGTCCAAGGTGAGTCTTCACGCCGTAGCAGGAAAGCTGCAGAGTGTGAAGGCACGTGCCCCCCACCCCCGGGTTTCTGCTGCATTCCTCAGGGTGGGGAGCCCCCAAATGCTGGCATACTGTGTGCTTCAGATATGAGAGAACTTGGAGTGAAAAGAGTCTGGGCTCTTCTTTTTCCTATAAATCCTCATAAACCTGCAAAGTGGTCGAGGCACTGAAACTGCTAGTGCTTTATTAGAAAGATGATGTTGATAGAGCCCAGGTCCTGGAAAGAAAAGATAGCCCTATAAGGCTGAGAGATGTCAGGTTGTGTGAAGGAGCTGGGTTTGATTCAAGAATCCACATTTTCAGGGAACCCCAGGATAGTTTGAGACTAAGCATGAAAAGATGATTTCGAGACAAGAAAAGACCTTGGAAGAATTTTGCTATCATCTGCCAGGGAAATTGTAGGATTCACTGAGTCCACTAACATACCAGTAAGCTCCCCATGTGATTCTAGGATTTGGCAATTTTTCCCTGTGAATTTAGACAAACTCCTAAACATCTCTTGCGCTTATTTGAACCGCCTGCTGGTAACATGAGTTTCCTATGAATGGTTTAACAGCTCCTGAATGTTTATGGAAAGTGGGGAGAACAATGGGGATCCTGGATGCCATTCTAATGTTTTCCAAAGGAAGGGAACCCACACTGCTCCCAGCGCCCCCCCGACCCCGTCCTGTGTGACCATCTGTAATGAGGAAAGAGGGTGAGGCCGTGCTGGGTGCTTGAAACCTTCTCTTGCTGCAACACATCGAGGTGCTTTGTAAAGGAATCAAAAGACCAAGCCTACATTCTCTATGGGGCCTCTGTGTGGCATTGTTTTCATGTTGGTCTCCTTTGCTCAACTACATGTAAACGAGAAAGAAGTG